GGAGAAGGTAGGTCTTGATAGTAAGTAGGGGGAATCGAAGAGACCCTGAATGTGGGATACAGACAAAGTATTGTGGCATGCAGGTGTTGGAAGAGACTTGGCCTGTGGGGATTGGCTGCCAGAATCATGTCATTTCCTTTCTCTTTTTCCCAACACAGTTATCTCATTTATTTGAACTGGAAACAAGGGCTTTTTAAAATTTTCCCCTTCCCCAATATTTTTTTCTGTAAGTTGGTGATACTCAGCAAAACTTTCTATTTGATTATTTATTAAATGTAGAAGTGAGAGTGTTACTTAAAGTTGGAATTATTATGCCCATTTCACAGATAAAGAAATGTAGACACGACCTGGTCAAGGATGCATATATTTTAAAGTGTGTGATTTGAACCCAGAAAGCCTGCCTCTGGGTGCTAAACCATTATATCATACAGTGTCTCAATGTAGAAAATGAAGGCATGTTCCTTACATAAAGTCGCTCATTGTCTGGAGATGAAGACTGGCAATAAATTATTGCCATACATTCAAATGAGCATCCATGTAGATCGATGAGCCGAATGGAGTGGTGGTCTCCTTGTTGTTAGACGCCACTGGGTCAGTTATGCCTCACAGTGACCCTCGGACAGCAGACAAACACTGCCCGGGTCTGCATCATCGTCACAATTGTTCTTACTTTTAAAGAGCCCAGTGTTGCAGCCACTGTGACAATCCATGTCCAGCATCTTCCTATTGTTCACCACCCCTCCATTTTACCAAACATGATGCCCTTCTCCAGGGACTGGTCTCTCCTGATAATATATTCAAAATATTTGAGAGGAAGTCTCACCATCCTTGCCCCTAAAGAGCATTCTGACTGTACTTCTTCCAAGACAAATCCATTTTCGTTTTGGCAGTCCATGGTCATTTCATATTCTTCACAAACTCCATAGTTCAATTGTGCTTTTCTTTAGTCTTCCTGATTCACTGTCCAATTTTCATATGGATATGAGGCCATTGAAAATACCATGCTTGGGGTCGGGTGCACCTTTGTCCTCCAAATAACATCTTTGCTTTTCAACACTTCAAAGAGATCTTGTGTCATTTGATCCCTTGACTGCTGCTTCCATGAGCATTGATTGTGAGTTCAAGTAAGACGACATCGTTGACAAGTTCATTCTTTTGTTTATCATGATATTACCTATTGGTCCATTTGTGAGGATTTTGGTCTTCTTTACATTGAGTTGTGATGTGGGAAACTGAGAACCGGGAAAAGAGACTATGCAGACAGCCTCTCGTCTAAGCTCATATTTTAAGGAGTCTGGGAGGCAGAGACTCTTGTGGAGGGAGGTCTTCAAGCTCCTGAGTTGGAGATGCATCCCAGGCACATCCTCCTAAGTAAAAGTTCTTCCCCATGAAGTCCCTCCATAATAACGCCAATTTTAAGGTGCTGCGTGCAGCACATGGTTGCTGCTACTGACTTTTGAAGGTTATCTGCCTGAAGGACAGACCCTATTGTCTGTGCCGCCCTCAGTAGGGCCCACTCCCATCTGATAAGGAACATAGAGTGTTCCCTGGAGAAGAACTCAGGGACACTTAGGTCAAGCCGGCTCAGAGACAACCAAGGTTAGGCCGCCATCTTAACTCTAGAACCTGCCCATCTTGTTATGTATGTGCCTTCCTGTGCTGGGTATGCCCCCAGTACCTCCTTTGCCCATTACGTAATACCCTTAGTATGTCCCCTTTCTGTCACATGCATGCCTCTAATACAACCCCTTCCTGTTACTCATGTGTATGACATGGCTTGCATGCCAGAGATTGTACAAGTTTGTAAGAGAATACATTCCTCCCTCACTCTGGTTTCGTTGCCATGAAAGAGATGAGCCCTTGTGTGTCTTGTCTGTTGTTCCTTTAATTTACCCTTCAACTACACAACCACCCACTGGACCCACTCGGTTGTGGAGGCAGGTCCCTCCCTCCCATTGTAATCCATACGAAAGGCTACAATCCTTGATTTCTATCCACAAATGCTTCCAGTCCTCCTCATTTACAGCAAGCAGAGTTGTGTCCCCTGCATGCCAAAGATTATTAGTAAGCCTTCCTCCAGTCTTCATAGAGTTCAGCTTCTCTGACAATTTGCTCAGCATAAGGATTGAATAAGTATGGCGAGAGGATACAACCCTGATGCAGACTTTTCATCATTTTAAACCATGCAGCATTCCCTTGTTCTCTTCGTACAACTGCCTCTCGATCCATGTGCAGAGTCCCCATTAGTACAATAAAGTCGTCTAATGAAACTGAGCTTTTGTGGAAGATCAGCCCCAGTAGGATAGTGGGTTATAAATTGGGCTGCTCACCCAAAGACCAGCAATTTGCAACTACCAGCCGCTCTAAGGTCAAAGGATGAAGGGTTTTTACAGGAGTTGTCCTGTAGAGTTTGTCTCGGAGCCCCACGGGGCAGTTCTTCCCTGTCGGATGGGGTCACTGTGAGTAGGGACGGTCAGTGAGATGTAAGAAAGAAGATGGAAGTCCCACAGGCCAACCTGTTCTCCAGACAGACTAGACAGTAGCACCCGGGAAAGTGCCCTGGTTCTTGGGTGCTTTGAGCAACCCTGAGAAAGGAAAAACAGAACTTCCGATCTAAGTGCCATGAGAATTATTTGACTATGGGTCTCTAAGAAAATGTGAATATCCCTTTATTATTTGTGTCATAAAATCTGGGGAACAGATACGATGTATCCCGATGCAAAGCTCTGGGGTCTGGAAACAGTTCACGTGCTTGGCTGTGAACTGAAAGGTGATAGCAGGTTTGAGCCCACCCAGAGGCACTACAGAAGCAAGGCCTGGTGATCTCCAGAAAAGCAGCTGCTGAAAACTATGGCACGCAGTTTACTCCGACACACACGGGGTGGGTCCCGATCAACTCCACCACTTCTGAGAGCTCCTGCCAAGGACGGAAACGTCTTATGGACTAGTCAGTCCACTTCTTGCCCAGGCCTCTTTTGGGGCCCCTTCCCTTGCTCTGTTTCTCCACCCATACCCAACTCCTGGGTATGTATCTAAAGAAGTCGCCCCTGAGTCCCAGATAGCAAGGATCCTGACTTCTTTACCCTTTTAGCCTACCACTTCTTTAAGCTGACAGATTGTCTAAGAAGGGAGCCACCGCCCAGAAGTGGTAAAGCTGAAAATGAGCAATGGTTAATTCAAATGGGATAGCATTGA